TATTCCTTTTTGCAACTTTTTGATCTTTATAACAGCTCTTGATGGGATTAAAACAAAGTTCGTCTCTATTTATGACACCAGAGAATGAGTTTGCTGCATCAGACTCTTGCAGGTTCAGCTCTCCAACAGATTCAAATGAGGTCAGATAGCGTTCTGCTGAAGGCTAAATGATTTGAATATAAAACATGCTGAGCCATGGGGACCTACGGTAGAAGTACGAGAAAATATCTCATTATTAATAATCTTTTTTAATAATCTTAATTATTAGATATTTTCTCGTTTTACAAGATAAGATCATATTGAGATCTTTTCTGCTAATTAACAGATCAGTATCTCATAATTATGAGAAAAGATTTCATAATTACGAGATACTGATCGTGTAATTATGATATAAGCTGTCTGATTTTTTTTCCTTTGGTGAATGCAGTATGTTTCAGCAGGAAACAGCATCAATGAAAGCGGGAAAAAGGAGCAAAACTTTGTTTCCATAAGCAAACTTTTTCCTTCCACTTAACTTTCCTCACTTCCTGTTAGATTCTGGGCTTTAAAAGCAAACTTCAGGCTTATCTTCTCCTAATCGCGTCTGTATTTGGACTGTTTGTGACTTTAATCATCTTAATGTCCAGAAAATCCAGAAGTTTCAGAGGTGTTGGTTTTTTAGAGCGAACAGTTAGAAGCAGTTAGAAGCATTAATGGCTGTTCTGCATGTTGTGTTTATCTCCAGCTCATGCAGGCTGTGCAGCCAGTAGAAGCTCTTCCATCTAACAGTGCTTTGCATGTGCAGCAGCTGATAGTGAAGCTCTGGAGGCTGCAGACTTTTCTGCTCCAGCAGCGCAGCCCTGCGCTCCCAGGCTATGACTCATCCCGGCTGCCAGTCACCGCTGCTGGACACGACCGGACCTCCTCACCGAGCAGGAGCCTAAACACCTGCCTGCTCCCCCCGCAGCAGAAAGCCTCACCTCTCTGTGATGAAACTACTCCGATGCTGCCGTCAGGTGCGCGCTGCTGCCGGGCCGCTGGCTCTCCTCTTCCCTCTCTCCTCCCGGACGTCGCATCGCCTCCCCGGTTGTGATGGACGGGAGGCTCCGCTGCTTCGGAGGAGGAGCGCTCGGTGGCTGAGGACCTCCGTGGGAGCAGCGGCTCTGATGGATGTGGCTCCTTTGGCTTCAGGGGTGGGGGACCGACGCTCACGATGCCTTCAGGGACTACACGTAAAGTCGGATTTCCAAGCTCTTTGCGAGAGATGCGCTTCTGTGTTACCATGGTGATTTAAAGGCACAGTGCTTTTGTCTTATTTTATAAGAGGGATCCATCCATGGCTGCTCAGTGGCGCAGTGGGTAGCACTGCTGCCTTGCAGCAAGAAGGTTCTGGGTTCAATTCCCGGGGTTTCTTTCTGCATGGGATTAGCATGTTCTCCCTGAGCATGCGTGGGTTCTCTCCGGGTACTCCAGCTTCCTCCCACTGTCCAAAAACCTGACTGTTAGGTTAAATGGCTTCTCTAAAATCTCCTTAGGTTTGAGTGTGAATGGTTGTTTGTCTCTATGTTGCTCTGTGATGGACTGGAGACCTGTCCAGGGGGGACCCGCCGACTTTACACGAGTTAATTTAGTGAATGGGATTGGTCGTTTAGCTAGGGGGCGGGATTGTTTTGACAGAAGGTGCTCAAGCAGGTTTGGTTGTGGCCGGTTTGTTGGAAGCATCTTGCTAACCAGTTAGCAACTTAGCACTAGCAGGTTCCCAATGGGAAATTCCATTGGGACCAAGTAGCACTAAATTGGTGACTTAGAAA